CTCTGCGACGCGCAAGCATTTCATAATGAGCACGGGCTTTATAAAGGAGTGGTCGCAATACTTTAACACGTACAGAAAATTAAGCTAATTGCACAGACGGCTCTGCAGAGAGACAACGCGCGTTTCTGTGGCATTCTTAGGTAACGGCAAATCAGTGTGGACCACCACAGCGGAGACAGTGCCAGTCCGTCGTCACATGACATGTCCCCGCACTCCACCGCTTAATCACACTAGTAAGCGAACGTCTGCTGAGGAGTACGAATTGTGAACCTCGTGTCACTCCATCCTTCTTCGGTGAGAATATTCCTCTCGGCACGCTCCTCCCTTCATTGCGAGGGACAGAATTTCACGCCAACACGAAACAACAGAGAGAAACCATGGCTACTCAACTTTACGTCTTCAGGCCCCTTGTAGCGCGAGTCTGGTTGGCGTTTGGACTCCCTCGAGGGCTAGCGGACACGAGCGGTTTTCCAGCCGCAGAGGTAAAACTACCTCAAACGCATAAGAAGTTTCAAGTCGCGATATTCTGGATCACGACGCCTTCTCTTTGTGGGTGTTATCGACGGAAAACGCTGCCTCCGTCGAAAGGTGAATGAACACCTGCGGGTCACGTTCCAGAAGACAGCAGCGTGAACTTTGCCGCCGACAAAACATCGAACCTCGCGACAAAGTTGAATCTCTTACAATGGCTTCATCTCAGAACCGCCCTGACCTGCACTTGGCTGGTCTCCAGGTAGAGGAAGTCAGTTCCTTTTGTACACAGCGCCTTGCTGTTACGTCACAAGGAGCAGGCAACCACCGCCAAACCCACGACGTTCAGCTTCGAGTCTCTTGTCAGAACAAACCTGTCGATGGACTGACAACACATTATTTCCGTCATGGGGAAATCGAACTGGATCGCTTTCTCGCTCCCAACGAGCAGGAGGTGTGGATCGGCGATGTAACGATCTAATTCTTATTCTTATCTGTGAAACAATTACGCACAAAAAAATCCCTCACTAAAGTAAAGTCGAGCGGCTGTAACATAACTCATTTCAAACATTCTTCTAGATTTCGGAGTTGTCCTATTCGGTATGCATCTCTTTTCACGCCACGCACGAGTTTTCTCGATCAGAAGCACTGGCCGTTTCACTCTCGACTCTGGCCTATTTCTTGTTTCACAGAGTCACTGAAAGTGAAGTGCCCCGCCGTCTGTTAGTAGTAAAAGCTGATTGTCCTTTTTACGTTCTCGTGCAGACATGACGAGAGGAAACTCTGTGAGTAGCTTAGCCCCTGCGTTAATCAGCCACGACAGCCCGCCGTGCTAACCTACTCTGCCCGTTGTTACGGGAACCGAAGTCAGATCGTAACAAAGACGGGACAAGAAAGGGGTTGAGGCGACAGTTCATTTCGTAACTCTTTCTGAAGTTCAGCTGAAACTCAGGGCCGTGAAAGGAAACGTCGAAGTTTAAGACAGTTGACTGCTGCACTTTAAAAAGTTTAAAACGTTTCCTTCAAAAACTTTCGCAGCGACAAAGAAAAGGTTCCTGTTGGCGTTTTTCATTTGCGTAGGAGCGACGCCTGGAGGAGTAGCCTACCCGCAACAACGCACTCAGTTCGAAAACGAGGGGCAGGACAGCGGTGGACCGAGCCCAGCCACTGCTTTACATTCCTCAGTTCTGGGCCGACGCTCGCATTACACGGAAGACACAGGCGCGGATGATATTAAAACGGACTTTATAGAAATGCGGTCTCGAGTTGCGCACTGGCTTGGTGAGGCTCAGCACGGGCTTTTGTGAGCACGGCGATGAGCCATCGGGTTGCACGGAAGGCGGGAAATGTGACTAGTGGGCAGTGGATTGACATTTCTTGAGAAGCAAGCAATGCGCTCTGCTTGGAAGGAAGTGGTCGTGGCCTATTGGAGGCAGTATTTTGTACTTGCACTGAGCAGATCGAAATGGGATTCACAGCAAGAGGCCTGTATCAGTTCATTCTCACGAATTTCGACTTCTTGTTTCAGAATGTCATTGGCTGGAAGGAAGTTCCTGGTGCTACTGACAGTCACAATCGCCGCACGCGGTCAGGTGAGATCTTCTTTTTCAAGGGTCAGGTGCCTTCCTCCACTTCAGTGTTGCAGGGCAGGGTCGGGAGTTCTTTCCGACCGCATTGCAGTTAAAGAAAAGTTCTCTGGAATTGCACAGACGGCGACCATTCAAATTCCACCGTCTCCGAAGAACTTAATCAATTTCCATCCTTTTCTCGGACTGGGATCTGTTCATATACGTTCTTGGCAGATGATCCAGCAGTGGTTTGCCATTGCCTTCTTCTGTGTGTGAATGGGGTAATTGTTGGGATGCCACGGAGGAAAACTCCGTGTTGCCTAGACCACGGCCTTGCCCAACACAAGTTATAAATTCGGGCACCGCCGGGAATCTAACCCGAGACCCCCAGGATTACAAGGCCAGCGTTCTAACCGCTAGACCACCGTGGCTATAATCAATGACTTATGGGTCCTAAATTGTAAAGAATCGTATCCTCATAAGACGTCTTTAAAAGAATATCGACACATAAAAGCAGATTCTTCAACTCGATAATTCACAAACCTAACGACACTACTTCTAATGCACAAGTCACCTAGCGTCAAAAGACACGTAGGAATTGTCTTGAACGGTGTGAATAGGCACGGATCTGAAAGGGGTCGCGAATGGCCTTTAGTCTGAGAAATGACACGAAAGCCGGCTCCCTACTGAATCAATATTCATGCACATAAGCGAACGATCAAGGTTTTATACCCTTCTGATTCATTTTGAAATAATTTATAGACATTTAAAGAAAACGGATTTAAGATTTCGTCACCAGAGGTCATCCCCCCCAAATACGCACTTTTTCGTTTTATATCAGGGCTACCAACACGATGTAAACGCAAACCTTTGAGGTTGCACAAACATTTGCGCCATTTATGCACGCGACTGGCGTTCGGTTTGGTTTTAATTACTGGAACAACATTTTATATCTTCTTCAGGAAATTTTCCTGGGAACTTAAAACAACTCGGAGGCCGTCCGACGCTTACAAATGCTTAGGCAGCTCTCACACGTGTGACGAAAAGCGCGTCCTGAAAGTTTGAAAGCTCAGCACGAGGCTGTTAATAGTTTCGTTCCACCGGCATGTCAACACTGTCACTGGCCACTGCAACACTCACAAAACGTCGTCTTTTTTTCATTTCTTTTTCAGACTCCGCGCGCGTTCGCCGTAGAGACGCACAACCTTCTGGGGTCCCTACCAGCGCTGGTGGGACAAGATGGCCTCGGGGAAGGAGGGCAGGCGGATGCAGGCCTGGACCTGGACCTGGACCGCAGAGAGACTGAGGTAAGCACAGAGGAACTTTACTCGCCTGCACTCCTGCTGGGCTACTCAACAAGTTCCTTCGCGTTCTATGGACTCAGTGCCCTGTCCACAGAAGTCAAACTCTGGTCCCTATCTCGAGCCGGATGAATCCAATTCCTGTTCAATTTATTTTAATGTGATTGTCCCATCTGCAATTACAGTTTCCGAGTGATCTCTTTACTTTCGGAGTTTCCATCCAAAATTCTTCGACGTTTTACATTTTCTCATCTCTCCCATGCGTATCAAAACAATGAATACTTGAGTCTCGACCTCAATTGTTTTATGTGTTTTGGAAACTAATTTTGTTGAGAGGTGCTGGTGCCTGCTTTATGGCTGAAGAGTGCAGCACTGTCCAGACAAAAAAACAAAGAAACTGCGGAATACGGAGCGGTTAATAGCGACGTAATGCCTGTTCCAAGCGACGAAATAAATGGGCGACGAAGAGTGTTTCATTTCGCGATGAATTAATTTAACTCTGACGCAATGACGATAATAGCTCGGCGGCTGACGGAAAACTGGCCCCGGAGAATTTGCTGTCGTAAAGTCAGTCAGTCGCACAGAACACAACGTCGTTAAACGCACTACAACTCGGGAAAGAGAAGAAAAGTTGGTCCACTTTGATATCGCGCAAAGAGCGGTCCTTGCCCGTCTCACGACCTCTTCCTCTGCAGCAGAGGGGCGACGGACGACGCGCCTCAACTTCTGCCTCCTTTCATGTTCCTTCTTCCGCGGATTTATTCCACAATTCCTACAGTCTACATAGAACGACTTCTTCTCTCTTTTCTTCAGCGCCAGGCGTTGGCCGACCTCCTGCTGCGCCTTCCTGAGCCGTCGGTGCAGCGCAAACGACGACGACGTCACGAGGACGAGCAGCGGAGCGCCGGCTCTGCCCCTGGGGTCTCGAGAGACGCGGGACCCTACGCCGAGGATTCGCGCCTCGAGGACAGGTGCGTCGCTGTTTGCGTCAGGCCCTTGGACACGAAAGGGACACAAAGAAGGTGCAGGTGGCGCCACGGCGAGGCGAACCGCGAGCTCTTGACGTCGACGATCAGAACCACGTGACAAACGAGTTACTGGAAGTTATAATAAGTTCAATTATCGCAAAACAAATGTGCGGGCCTGCGCTTACTTCATTCTGCAGGAGGGCATTTGCACTTCGATCGATGACGCACTGCGTCTTCTTGGAAACACGGATCAAACTTCTAAACGCTATTTAGACAAGCTTTGTGCATCACGCGTAATACAAGAAAAGTAACAAAATACAAAACAAATTGACTGCGCTGAACCCACGCCAAATCTTTCAGCACAAGCCAGCGCGGAGCAACGACGCGCATAACCGCAAAAGCTAACACTCCCCGGCAACCTGCATTTACCAGGACAACCGGGCATTTCCAGGGAACCTTAAAAGTATCATCCACCCTTTTCCCCGTAACGGAATGTCTCTCTCACTGGCCCCTCCCCGCCCGGATTCGAAGTTGCGACCTCGTGAGGTCCCTTAACCTTCAGTCAAGCGAAATTCTGAGCAAGATTTTACGCGTCGATTGTCTGTCTGTCTGTCTGTTTCAACAGAAACACGAAACAACTACTTGGCAGTTTTTCTTTTCTTCGCTCAGAGTTACAGGAGTCGAGACAAAACGAGTTCGGTTCCGTCTTGCGCGCAAACAGAGGGCGATCTGCTACAGTTCGGAAACCGCAAAGCCGAAGACAGTTGTCATGGTTTCAGTGCACAAGAATTGAAATGGGCTGCCATGGCAACAGGCGCGTATCTCAACTGCTTAATCCGTCGTGTCCGAGCATAAACAGACAATTTGTGTGTGGGCGTGTGAATCATGTGCGAGCATTGATACGGGGTCTGAAGCCAGGATACGCGCATCGCAAGCCTCAACACGTTCTCGCTCGCCGTCGTTTTGCCAGCCGCGCCGTATCGATGCGTCTCTCTGATGGACGCCGTGCTATAAAAATTGTCCGATCTCAGAGATGGAAAGTCTGCAAAAAGCGGATTCCGCGCCCTGCAATCCGATTCGTGGCACAAACACACAGCAGAGAGAAAGCCACGTTTTGTTCTAGGTTATTAGGAGAAATAGCCGAGGTTACGCCCAGTATTAAGAGCGCAAATCGTGGCTTTTATTTTTTTTATCGAAAACGAAAGCTCAGACACTTGAAAACTGTCCAATCGCATCTCCTGCTCCTTAGGCTGCCCGCGCCTCAGTTTTCTTCAGTTCCCGCCCAGAAATATTCTCTGACAAAATGTTGTGCCTCACTCTTGATTCGTTTTGCCCACAGTTCTGCGGGCCGCGGAGTGATGATGCCGTCAAGGCTGTTCGGGCGGAGGGGAAAGGAGGAGGTGAGAACAATTGGCGGACGCCACATCAACTGACTTGCCCAGTCTCTGGTCACAGAGCACAAAGGTCACTGTCAAAACTCTGACTTGCCTGAGGCAGCTCAGTCCAGTTGCCAACCTCATTTTTAACGTTGCTCATATTCCGATAAGTGTTTGTTGTTTTCTTCGAGTCTGGTCCGGACGCCGAGCGAAATATCACTCCGTTCTTTGTATTCCCCAGAACGAGAGCCCCGCCTTCGGTGAAAGGGGCTTCAAGAGGGCCACAGTCGGTGCAGCCGGGCGCAGGGCCTTCGGCACTTGGGGAGGAAAGCGGGCCGCAGAATTCCACAGTTGGGGTGGAAAGACGAGCAGCGAGGAGCAGTCAGCCCTCGCCGTCGTGAGCAGCAAAAGACGACGTCCTGCCTTCAACCACTGGGGAGGAAAGAGAGACTCGGCTTCTAACGCTTTGGCCGACAAGAGAGATATTTTCGGGTTGAGCGTCAGCGATGAACCGTCGCTTCGTACGTGGGGCAGTAACTCTGCACCGCCTTTCAGTGAACCGAGCCCCCAAAAAGACGCAGTCCTCCGCAGTTTGTGCAACGAGCATCCAGCATTCAGTATTTTAAGTAGTAATTACGAACCAAAGCCTGCGCTCATCGCCTTGGGCTGCAAGAGAGCCTTTGCTAGCTGGGGCGGGAAGAGAGAAGCCAGGGGCCCTCCGCCGTCTGCCTGGGGATCGAAGGGGAGCTCTGACGGCGACGCGCGCGACACCAGAAGTTTCTTGAGCTGGGGGGGAAAGCGGAATTTCATCGCGGGTGGAATGAAGGAGGGAGCAGAGGAGTTGGGCAAGAGGAGGTTTTCAAGCTGGGGGGGTAAAAGGGGCACGATGCGTACTGGGGAAATCGGACCAGGAGACGAGGGAGAACAATCCTCGGCAAGAATTTCATCACCAGAAGGATATCGACAGCTTCTTGAAGGGTTTGGCAGAAAAATGGGACTACCGCATGAATACAATGAAATCGCGGAGGACCCTGAGGAGATCGAAGCAGGAGAGAACACTCAGAGGTCAGAGCCACATGAGGAATTTCAACAGCAGCTGGGCGGACAGAGTGCAATCACGAAGCGCTCAGAGGCAAAGGCCAGAGTAGGCAAATCGCTGTTCCGTCCCTGGGGTGGCAAGCGCGACCACGTGCTGCCCCCACCCCCGTTCTCGCCCCCCGCATTGGGCGGCTTTCGACTGCTTTCGGACTTGTTCAAGGAAGAAGGGCACGCGCGAAGCAAGACGCCGGGTTCGAGGGAGTGGGGGCCGTCGCCAGCTGGCGAGGTGAAAGATCGGATATAATTGCACGGCCTCAGGGTAATGGAAGGAAGTTTCGAAGAAGAGCTGATTTTCATTCCTGGGACGGAAAGTAAGAGCTGGACAGCTGATACCAATCTACCTAAGACGGCTAAGTATTCCTTTACGTGAGATGTATCTCGTGGCACCGTTGATCTTTTATCTTTCCTTACAACATCGTGCTGTAGAGAACAAACCATAAAAGTAATAAACCATTATCCAGACTTTGTTTCATAAAATGCAATGGACCCAATTTCCCCTTATTTTACAAAAAAAAAACAAATTCACAGTAAATATATAACCTGATAATGCAAACTGTACATAAGCATTGTGAGTACATGGAAGCAAGCTTTCAATTATAACCTAATGGCAACTTGCCAATACGATGTGTGATATTCATTAGCGTGTTTTTCGCTAATTTATAATAAAGGATATTGCCTACGTGTACAATTTCTGGACGATACCCTCATTTCCACATTCAACTTATTTTTGAAACACGTTTACGAATGAGAGTCCAATTATCCCCCTTTTTTAAAAAAAAAAAAAAAAAAAAAAAAAAAGAACCAAATTCACAGTAAATATATAACCTGATAATGCAAACTGTACATAAGCATTGTGAGTACATGGAAGCAAGCTTTCAATTATAACCTAATGGCAACTTGCCAATACGATGTGTGATATTCATTAGCGTGTTTTTCGCTAATTTATAATAAAGGATATTGCCTACGTGTACAATTTCTGGACGATACCCTCATTTCCACATTCAACTTATTTTTGAAACACGTTTACGAATGAGAGTCCAATTAGAAACTTGTTTTCAGGATATTCATGAACATTCTGTTGGTTGCGAACTGCTTAAGTGAATACAACTAAACCCACAATGCGACATCTTTCCCTCTCAATTACACACGCCGATATTCCTGCCTTCAAAAGGACGACAATCCTACTGCAACAAGTGGATATGTCATTAAATGCTGTTCCTTCTGAGCATTACATATTACCTAAATACTCCCTACACCCTACTCGGAAATGTTGCATCATTTTCTGACGAAACACGTCATTATAAACTCCACTGATACTTAAGAACGTTAAATGAAACATAATCAACTTACCACTGCCACAGCATTCACACTGTCTTCCTCACAGAAACACAAAATGCACTGATATTGGGGTTTTGAATTGCGAACAGCACAACTTCCTCCCCCACCACGCGAACGTAATGCCAAATCCAAAATAATCTTAACCCGTCTTACATCCGACTTCAGTCACTCCACTTCTCCATCTAGCGTCAAATGATGGAACAATATTCTTCCCAACACCTTCCAGTTAAACTAGTTAATCGATTCGTGTTTCAAAAAAGACATCTACACTTTGGATTCACATATTCCAACAATGCGTAATGTATACTTTCAAAATATTTATCTGTTCCAAAGTATATAGGGAGACTATCTTAAAATTGCACACTGTAAATATACGTCGGTGTTAACACACAACCACTGACTTCAGAATATACTCGTATGACTGCATGCTTTCTGTAGTGTTTGGAGTACGAAGAAATGTTTGTTACATATGCAACTAGTATATTAGGTCCGTGTACAGAGTTCACACACAATGGTATTTCATTAAATCCAGTGTCTGCTGCACATGTTTCTCCGAACACAAGAAACTGATCGAAGCAATTAGCATTAATTATGACTTACTCCCGAAGTCTTCACCGGTTATCTGTTTCAATAAACTGATTAAAATTATTCAAACGGATAATACTGATAAACTGTGGCTGTAAAACCGTAAGAGAAACACCATAAAACATACTTATGCCTACACAAAGCTTATGAATCGCGCTCTTTCAACACGCCATATTTCACTAGTAACAACGTGACCAACCTAACGGCGTAGAATCTGAAAACATTCAACAAATCTATCAGCAACACAGGTGTGTCATATTATCCACCTGTCACTTCCGGCTATTCTCCCCTAATTACATTTATAACCTCTTCTTATAATTCTAAAGATACGGCTCTCTTACAATGAAAAGAAAAACAAAACATGAGAATTGCATACTATAATTATTGTAATGTACGGGACTACTTAGGATATATTTATAAAAACCATCCTGTGAGAAACATAGGCTTAATTATCTTGTGATCCACATAGGCTTAATTATCTTGTGATCTATTTTTCTGTGCTGTGTACCACACACTGAGGGATACAGGAAAATTCTGTGATGTAGCTTAAGAGGGTATACTTTCATGAATCTAAGAGAAGCACAACACATTTTTATTACTCTTATTAATTACCAGTGTGCTCATAATTACAAAATTAAATTAAACCAATTATGTCCTAAAACTCTGTAGAAATGACTGGAGTTTTCTTGGTGCCAGGAAATCACAAAACATAACCTGAATGAGCACTGCTTTTTAGTAATTCTGTAACGCACAATCTCTGGGACCATATTCATTCAAAGGTCGAGTATCAAGTACAGCGGTTATTAAGAATGAAGCTTAACACTGGCAGTTTGAAGTGCATAAAAAGCTCTACACACATCAGCTGTAGCTTAAAATAAACATTAAAATGTTTCACTCATTGCTCGTCTCATGCTACACAGCTTCGTCTACAGGCACACGCCACTTGCATCCCTAAGGCACTAAGGACCTTCTAATAATGCAATTTAATGAATCACTGAACAAGAACACCAATGTTCTATACCACACTTTGCCTGTCACAAATTACATTTATCAAAAGCCTTCCTTACTAACTTCTACATTAACATTTATTTTGTTTAATTACTTCTGATGTTTTTTTTTAAATGTACTTGAACCTGACACATTAGTTCATAAGCAAAGGTGTGGCGTTAAAAATTAAAATGGTGAAGTGGCCTGATGCACAGTTGTACCTTTAAAAAGATGAGCACGAATCATGCGAGGCCACTCTCGCCGTTATTTAATAATAAATAACCCGCAAAGAAATTAATAAACAAATAAGTTAGGGAATTTTAATGACAGGAAGCAGTCAGGTCAGGTGACTGGACTCCTAATGAACAGGACAACTGTTACTTAATTCTGCATGGCAATGTAACTCTATCAGTGTCACCCTTCTAACACCTACAAATGGAAAAGTGGAATTTAATTTTTGTTAAATTGACCTTTCTCTTAATTTTGATTTATTTTCCTCTTATCTGGATTGTTTATAAAATATTTTCCAGTTTCCCAGGGGAACGGATTCTGTTTGTAACACTAGGGCGCAGGTGTGCACAGCACTGATAGAACTGAACCTGTTGATGAGTACCCTGAACATTATGATAGTAACAAGAGACTAATCTGCACCAAGGCTCAAGGCAGCCTTCCTGATTCACTGCCAACTGTTCCCTCTACTCTACACACACACTCTTTATTCTCTCTGGTAACTTAGAAAAGCCTCGAGTTGTACAGACGTCCTTGTTTTGTCGCGTCTGCGGTTTTTCAATCCCCTCTTTTCATGTTGACAACTTCAGTATAAAGATGCAAGAGATGACAGACCATCAATAATATTAATTCATGCTTTCAACTCCCATTCAGTTTCAGAAATCCTAACAAGTGACTTCCTACAACTGCTTGAAAATAAACATTATGAATGTTCCACAATCTGAAATGTAACTGTTCATTTACTAAACCTCAGACAGCTGATTGGCCTTTCACCGTGCAAATGAAATGGGCTGAATGTTACGACACAACGGGAAATTATCATTCCCAGACAAAAGTGACAGAAAGGAGATTGAGGTTCTTTGTGATCTCGGTTGCGTCATCATACAGTCTTGTAGAAATTTTACCCTGAAGATATTGGAAATATTTTACTCTCGAACGCTGGTGAACGCCTACGAGACTACAGAGCAACAAAACCCAGAATATCTCAACCCACAGAAGTGATAAAGATTACTGTAATCATTATCTACAAGCTAATCACTGAACCAACGCTTGCACGCTACGGAACAATTTCCATGACACTGTAAAACAACTGACCAGTCATGTTCATAATCAGGACCAGTAACACAGTCATCTATAAACAAATAATCAATCAGTAACACTTACAAGATAGTCAGCTATCTACTGGTTGGAAACAGGAAGTCCTGAAAATATGTAATCAATTGTTTGAACCATGTGTTAACAAACAAACAAACAAAAACAACATATGAATTAGATGCAACACTAACTAGCTGTAAGCATGAGGCAGATTTATATGTACTTATCTCATTGGTTCACTGGCAGGGAGAGGGGGACACGAGAAGGCAACAGCAATGTTACGCCACCTGGTGTCTGTTAAAAAAGTGAAACTGCCTGTGAAGGGCATATCAGGTACTGAACAGAAAATTAATCTTCACTCAGTTTGGCAGTCTTAGCGGCAAGCCGAGCGTGTTAAATACGTCATTTAAACGGCACTAATTTGCAAAGAGGTATGGAGCAGATTTGGATATTAGGATCCTAAAATATAACACCGTCTTAACTTGGCCCCAATAAATGGAATTACTAAGAAAACTCTTATATAAATATGTCATTTTCTTCCACACAAAACACATCAGAGTCCTTTCAATATATTTACATATACTTTAATGACTCGCTCACTGTCTAGTACTAGAACCTGGAAGATCAGCACCACTAACATAAATGCCCACCAATGGACAGCATTTGAGCTATTTCCATCACATCCATTTCATAATGCATTATATCAACAATATTTATTCTAATATTATTCTCTCAATTCTTCACTCTGCAGTAATTTATCAAGCAGAGGTTTTCCCACCAAAATTCTAGATGTTTCTTGTTTATATATATATAAACACACACAGTGCACTGCACCCTCCGTAAAAGTGGAAGTCAGCATACAAGTAATCAAGCCAACTCCACAAAAATAAATATTAACTAAAAATTTAAAAGGAAATACAGACTGTTAAGAATACGCAGAGCCCTGTAAGAACGATCTAAAACCTTTTCAACCACGGTCTGCCGCCCAAGTAAAAATGTAGGTCGGATACGTAACGAATGAAGTGAGGAAACTTCGAGGAAGGTGGCTACGTAGAGGACTGAGAATTAAGAGGACAATATTAAAATCTATCTTAATGACTTAAGTTGTGAGGATGTGAAGTGTACTGGACTTGCTCAGGACCTTTTTGAAATTATGGATTCACTTTTGTGATGTTGAATTTTGGACTACGCTGCCAAACAGCTTAATCTAACAACACTTTCCAAGCGAACACATTAAAATGTAATCACAAATATCTAACCACGAGACCCACATTCGACTCTTGAGCAAGTAAACTTTCTTGTTGCTGTCTCCATGTGCATGACCTACAGGTTGTTCACGCTGATGATCTGGTTGATCCACCCGATAAATGACGACACTTTGACGTAAACACCCGGAACGTCCACTCTCCCGCAGCCGAAGCCCCACGACACCAAGCCTGCCAGCTCATAGAAGCCATCATCCTGACAAACCAGGGGACCACCTCCATCTCCCTGTGAAACGTAGTTCAAATTCACAACAAAATGCGGTGTAATATTTCCAGTTCGGTGTTGAAAGAGGCGAGCACAAAAGCTGAGTTACGTAGCCACCAAATTGTGCAGCAGCAGTAGTTACTGAATGGCTTATCTGTTACTCCTAGTAGCAAAATACTCAGTCCTTTTTACCACAAAATGTGAAACTCAAGAACTTTCAGGAGGCAGAAATCTATCTTTCCTGCGTTCCATTTCTGGAAAAAATTTGCCCCATAATTTTCTCATGCAACAGACCAATTCCTTTATACATTAACATCTCTGTACCACATTCTGTTAAATGTGGCCTTGTGACAGCCTCACTACAGCGTGTTGAAGCGTCAATAATCCACATACCTGACATGCATCATTGCCTTCTTCTCCGCCAGCGCAGAAACTACTAGCTGGTAGGATAAATATTTTTTCTGTGACTGCATTGATCTTGCGGATACACTCAGCATCACTGACGATAGGAATCTCAGCTTCTCGAACACGAAGTGGGATCGGACCAGCTGAAAGGTCAGCATTGTGATGTTTACAGTAACGTTAGCACCACAGGAAAAAAGGAGCATTTTGACAATGTGCACAGACATTAAGAGAAGCTTAAAGCACAAACAGAGAAAGAATTTTTACCACTACAGAAGATAAAATATCTGTCTAGTTAATTCAACACAGGATAATAAAGAGTTGGATGAAACAAAAATTGAGACTCGATAACCTAGTGGGACCCTGGCACTAACGTAGCAAGAACAGAATAACAGTAATCAGTAACAGTTAACACATAACAGAACCTTCTTAATACACTCTACCAGGACCATGTCACATAATCTATCTCAGCCCAGCACCTGTCCTTCACTTAGAGCGAGAGACTGAAGTTACATCCCACACAAAACACAGAACATGCTTTGAAGATGAAAGGAAAACAAGGAGGAATTTCTGCCAGAACAAGATTCAAACCACGTACCCCTGCATACAAGTGTGACGTGTTTCCGACATACTGACATGTCAGCATCAAATGGATAGTATGATGACATGCATTGCCTAGATCATGTTACATTACACTTGACTGCTGCCCGATAGCAGAGAACGGAAACCCCCAGTCGAGAAGTATAAATGTTTCAATCATGAACAATTCGAGTTCATCGAAAAATGGTGCATGGCACATTTGGATCTTACAAAAATCATGTCATGTAACCCTTTCTGCGCCGAATAAAGGAAGTGAGATGTAACGGCATTTCACAGAGCCAAGAGATCCTTATATTACACATCTGCTCCTTACCCTCCCCCATGTAGCCGTAGCCTGTGACCGTGCACCTCTTGCCAGCCGCCTGACTCACGCCCCGTGCCGGGAGACACACAAGACACACCCCATCCTTAAGCTCTGCTTGTCCATGCAGTTTCAGAAGTGCGATGTCATTGTCAAGCGTCTGGCTGTTGTGGTTGTGGTGGATGTACGTAGTGCTCACTCGAAGAGTCTGCGCGCCCGGACTGCCGTACTTCTGCGTCAAGTCGTGGTCACCGACACGCACGTAGATTGCGTCTCCCGACCGTACGATGCTAGAACAGGTAACAGACGGCTGTGGCATAGTATGTGTGGTTTTGTTCACAGGCTAAAATTGACACGATAATTATTATGCACGATGAACTGGAAATTAGAAATTTTAAGTTGTACACACACTAAGATACTACCAGTACATATTCCTGGTTCCTACAGTTGTACTTCTTGCATTTTTATCATAATAGTAATGGGGAGAAGTAACAACTTAATTATTCCTCTTTTATTTTACAATGTTTCTGCTAATTATATCAATAACACTGCAATACCCACTCAAGGTTTCTTTGGACAGCAATGATTATGAATTCAAAAAGCTGTAACAGGCCACTGCTTAACATTTTACTGATTCAGAAACAAGGGGCTAAGGGCTCAAGACAAACCAGCTATAAACACAAACACTAGCAAGCAGCAAGCAGCAAGCATCCTGCCGAACATGAGGTACGAGCGTCAAAAATGACACCACAAAGCACTGTTGATCAATATGAGACATCATTACGATGAAGTAGCGAGAACATGCAGTAATATGCACGTGGCTAGCACCCACTTAGTAACACAGTGAGCAGCTGTGAGGACCCACTGAGTGCCAATAAGTGCACCGCCGCAGAGGTACTGGTTCAGGGAGTTGATGAGTGCCACCTGCCAGCACCACTCTGCCGGGTCACCATCCTCCCCACCCACAACACGGCCCTGCCTGTCCCGGCCGCGGGCCGTCCCCTTCACTCCACACACGTACTTGCTGTACACGGGTGGACGGGGTGTTGTGGAACTGCCAGCTGAAGGGCCTGGGAGTCAACACAAGTGCTAAGTTAAATAAAATGCACTTCTCCTCTTGACTGCGTGCATGAAGATTCCCCTCCCATATTTGTGTACAGAGCGTATCTTAAACACATAGACAACTTCGCTTTGACTCACGAAACATTACAAAAGAAGTAACATGTTTATTGAAATTTTGTTCAAACACAAAATGCAAATTAACAAATCCTTTAATTTTATGTTTTTGAATAATTTACTTTCACCAAAAGAATGTAGTTTCTCTTTCAGAAGTGTCTGCTTCATTTCAGCCCGATGGATCTGTAACGTCGTCGCAGACCCTAACTTATTATTCATATTTTTTTCAACAACCAAGTTCATTTTATCTATATTTTTCTCTCTCACCAAAATTAACAGTAGACTGTGTGTTCCAGTGAACAACAAACACCTCCTGTGAAATGTTACTAAATCCGTCTTGCTAATTTCAAAGTACATGAAGTTAACCCTCCCCACGCTCACCCGGTGCAAGGGCAGATGGCAAATGGCCAGTAGTGTGTGCTGATGGTAGCCTATAGTGGGGAGAAACTGTTTCATTCCTGGCCTGTCCATTGCCTCCGTGCCTCTGGTCCAGCATCTCGCGGATCATGCTCTTTGGAGCACAACACTGAGTCCCAGACTTTCGACACCGGAACAACTCTGTCATCTCTGCATTCCCTGGACAAATGAGAATCTTATGAAGCTCCCTGCTTCCGAGCGCATATTTATTCGTTTGCTACACTTTTACATCTGCGCTGACGGAGACAAGCAGATTATGCGGGTACTTGAAAATATTTAGAAGGAACTGCTCATGAACAAATGGCTGATGGTTCTGAGGAACAGAGGGAAACCATGAGACACTTCAACCTGGTTTCATGATAATATTCAGTGCACAGTTTGCTTGTTACCATTCTTTTACTTACAATCAGGAAGATCTGTTAAACTGAGGAATCACATGTATGAAACCCGGCGTGTCATATAGATATGAAGCTACTTAGATAAATCCAATTTCTAGATGACGTACTTACTGAAACATGTGAAAGACAAGTATGAAACAATACAGGACCCTGGACAGTCTGGCCGGTCATCAGGAGGAGCTGGTGTTGTGGTCGTAGAAGTGGTCGTCGCGGGAGGCTTGGGCCTCGGCCGAGGTC